CAGCCGGGAGGGGCGGGGCCAGCCTGAGCGCGCCCTCCGCAGGCTGTACCACCTGAAGGTCTGCGGTCTGTCCTCTCTGTGGCGCCTGTTCCGAGGGAAAAAGTGGAACGTGCTTCGCCAGCGGGTTGACTCCTGCTCGTATGACCTGGACCAGGTGCGACCCTGGCCCCCCCAGACCGAGCGGAGCACCTGCGCGCCGAGGGCCCCGTGGGTGGGTGGGGCGCGCCTGCAGAGGGCCCGCGCCCCGGGCGCCCGGCAGTGCAGACCTCCCGGGCGGGTCCCGGGGAGGCTGGGCCCATCTCAGGGGGCCTGGCTGGCAGGGGCGCCGGGCGCCCTGCTGACGCTGCCCCTGCAGCTGTTCATCGGGACGCTGCTCTTCACCATCCTGCTCTTCCTGCTGCCCACCACGGCCCTGTACTACCTGGTGTTCACCCTGGTGAGCCCCTCCCTGGGCTGGGAGGGAGGGCGCGGAGCCCGCCTGCTGCGGCCCCGGGGGCGGCCTCGCCTGAGCCTGTTCCTGGGGGCGGGGGCAGGCTGGAGGGCAGCTCCAGCGTCTGCCAGGGGGGCCTGGCAGGGGCAGGCTGTGCTGAAGCCAGCAGGAGGAGCCCTCCGGGTGGACGCTGGCCCCCGGCCTGGCGGCTTCCCAGCCCCTGTGTCTGCAGCTCCGGCTCCTGGTGGTCGTGGCGCAGGGCCTGACGCACCTGCTCGTGGACCTGGTCAACTCCCTGCCGCTGTACTCGCTCGGCCTCCGGCTCTGCCGGCCCTACCGGCTGGCAGGTAGGAGCGCCACAGGCCTCCTGCGATGGGGTGGGGGGGAGCGGGGCTCGCGCCGCCACCCTCAGGCACCACTGGGCAAGCCAGCACCTCCCCCCAACCCCCCCTCCCCCCATCCCTCTGCAGGCTGTGTGTCCTGGCTCAAGCCCTGAGGGGCCCCCTGCTGACTGTGGGATCAGGGGCTGCCCTGGTCAGAAACTTGGATGCTGCCAGAGCTTGGGGGCACCCAGCACCCCCCTGGGCAGCCTTGGCACAGGGCGACGGTGGGCTGCAGCTAGGACAGCCTGCTGGGGCACCCTGCCGGGGCTGCACCCTGAGGCTGGCTCCAGCCTGTCCCACTTTCCCTCCCAGCCCTGGGGCCTCCTCAGCTGGGAATTAGCTCCTGCTGCTTCTGCAGGGCTTTGCGATTGGGGTCCCCAGGGTGGTTACCCCCCTCCCCACCTCACGCAGAAGCTGGGCACACTTAGAGGCCGGCAGGGGCCCGGGGGCTTGGTCTGGCAGGTGGGAGTTCTGGGCAGTGGGGGCCGCAGTCCACGCCCTCACCGCCTGCTCCCCGCAGCTGGCGTGAAGTTCCGCGTCCTGGCCCACGAGGCCGGCAGGCCCCTCCGGCTCCTGATGCAGGTGAGTGGGCCCTGCCCTGCCTGGCCGCGGGGTCAGGCCTCTGGCGCCCTGCGCGGGCTCCGTGGGCCCAGGGGAGGGAGTGCCCTGCCCCAGGAGACAGGCTGAGGCTGTATCGCAGAGGGGTGTGGCCCACTGTGCCTCACCGGGCTCCCTGGCAGAACCAACGGGGGTGTCCCGTGGAGGGGCACACAGTGGCCCTGCCCCCTGCTGTCCACAGGGGCCGCCATGGGCGCGGAGCTGAGCCTGGGGTGGGGTGGCGAGCTGCTGACGCTGACTGTGTTCCCAGATCAACCCCCTACCCTACGCCCACGTGGTGCGTGCCTACCGCCTGCCACGCTGCGGCTGCACCCCCCAGCACTCCTGGGGTGCCCTGTGCCGCAAACTATTCTTCGGGGAGCTGATCTACCCCTGGAGGCAGAGGGGAGGGGACAAGCACGACTGAGACGGCCACACCACGCCCACCTGTCGGGTGACTCCGGAGACCTGGGCCTGGCAGGGCAGAGGCTGGCCAGCCTGAGCCCTCTGCCCTCCAGGCCATGCCCCCTGCCCACTGATGGGGGGACCACACTCTTACCAGCCCCCGGCCAGGCCGGGCCTCCTCCCTGCGCCCCCAGCCCCAGCTCAGTCTGTGTATCTGCCTGCCCAAAGTGCGCCCCCTGGCCCCAGCCCCCAGGGAGTGGGCAGCAGAGGCCTTGTACTGGGAGCTGCCCAGAAAACTGCTGCCCCCTGGAGGCTTTGCGGGATGAGTTGTCCGAGGCCGTGGGCCTCCCCGTGCTCGGGCCACGTGGGCCCAGGGCTGGCTACCCCAATTCCACCGAGTCCCCATGGGGAGACCCTCGAGCAGGCGTCCTACCCACGGCGGCCCGACCGCCCCGTGGCTCGCCAGCCTGCCCGTCCTCTGCGGTGTGCTGTGCTGGCTGGCGCCGGGCAGACCTGTCTGCCCTTTTCTGCTGTTGACAATAAAGCTCCTCTCGTTCTGGGTGCTCCCAGCCCTGCCTCCTGCTGCCTCCCGGGCCCTGGGCCTGCGGAGCTTCTGCGGGCGTGGGGGGTCACACAGCACGCTACCCTGAAGAGTTGCGGGACCGCCCCTGCTCTGGCCAGTGCCCGCGAGAGGACCCTGGCGGGAGTGAGTGGACCCCAGCCCACCCCTTGCCTTGGCCCAGCTCTGGCCCTGGGGCAGGCAGAGCTCAGGCCCTCCTGGTTGGTGGGGGAGTGCGACACCTGCGAGACAGCCCCTGGAGGACGGGAGCTCCTGGACACCCATGTGTCCTCGGCCCACAGGGGCCCTGGGGTCCCGCGCCTGTCTCCATCTACCCGCAAGGGCCTGGCTGGGAGGCCCCTCAGGATTTGGGAGGCCCCAGCCTCCACCAGGGGCTCTCGGAGCTGACACCCCGGGTCAGCTCCTTCACCTGTGTTCCTGGGCCACCTGCCTGGCCAGCCCACTCACCCCCGACCTGCGCCTTCAGGTTCTGCTGCTGTCATCCCTGGGCCAGGTCACCCCAGCCTCCGGGATGTGCCACCTGCACGCCCGGCCTCTTGTGGCCCCACTGTCCTTTGTCCATCCCCTGAGGACACCTTGCCCCTCCCCAGGGCCCTGACCACCCAGCCACGCGGGCCCTTGCAAAGCCACGTTCCTGCGAACTCAGGGTCAGCACGGGACGTGAACCCTGACGCCGGCCACCGCCAGCCGTGGTTCTGGGCCAGGCGGGCCTCGGGCTCCTTGCGCCGGTGGGGCTGCAGGGGGCAGTCCCAGCGGGCAGTCCCAGGGGCCGCAAGGGTGCCCGAGTCTCGGCGGGCACGGCTTGGGCGCGGGGGGGGGCACGGGACACCCAGACCTCCCCTTCGACCCCGTCGCTCCTGCAGGACAGGCTGGCTGGTCTGCGGGCCTGGCCCCGCCCTGCCCGGCCGGCGGGGATCGGGCCGGCGGAGGGCGCTGTGGCCCGCGGTCTCCGGGAAGCCGAGCGGCGCCCGCCGGCCGCCCCCACCCAAAGCCCCGGGCTCCGCCACCCCGCAGCGCCGACGCCCCGCCCAGAGCGGAAGCCCCGCCCCCGGCCTCCCAGTCCGCGCCACGCCCCCCGCGGCTCCTCCTCCCGCCCCGCTGCGTCACCTCCCCCGGCGCCCAGCGCCACAAGCCGACTTCAAGCCTCTGATTGGTGAGGGCGTACGAAAGGCCTGTGATGGACGTGCGGGCGGTCCGGCGACACCCGGAGAGCAAACAGTGAGGGCCAATGGCCAAGGGAAGGGGGCGGGCACCGCGGGTGCAGCAGGGCAGTAGGCGGGACTGCCGGTGACTCGGGGGCGCCGCGGGAAGTGGCCGGGGAAAGTGGCATTGATGGACGTGCAGTCAGACCAATGGCTATGCTGGAATCGAGGGGCCAATAGCGACGGTGGAGAGGCGTCCGCAACCCTGTGTGGGGAACCGTGAGGGCGGGGCAGTTGCGACGGGCGTTCGCACTGGCCAATGGCCACCGGCCGCCAATGGCGACGGCGAAGGGGCGTGGCGAAGCGGTGACGGGCGGGCCGACCAGAGGCTTCGCTGCGCGGTGTGGGAAACGGCGGGGGCGGGGCGG